AAAAAAAAAAGCAATCGTAGATGTGTGGAGGCTAGGAACATTTTGCAAGGCCTAAGTGTGTTTGTCATTCCAATTATAGGACAGAACTGTGTTCATACTCTACCGCTTTTCAAAGCGCTCCTGAAGGTTTCCATAACAAGGCTTTTTAAATAAAGGTTTGAAGGATTGCATAGATTCAAAAGCTCAGTGGTCCTCTAATTCCTTTTTGATCTCTGAAATGTATGGATGATCCTTCCCGTGTGCTACTTCCATGATAGCAATTGCCTATGAAAAGAAAAAAATATTCACACAATTGATTCATATATAACACCAGGCTATAAATACTCTCTTTAGAGGTTTGAAACAGTCTGACACCTCTAGCTACTTTTTGTCCCCTTGTAGTCATAAACCCAGTAGGAAATAAAATGAAATTCAAAACTAAGTAATAAAGGTTTTACATTCAGAGAATACATCTTTCATCTTAAAGGATCCCAAAGCACCTTTCAAAATGATATTCCTGACAAAACTACTTTGAATGCAACCAGCTCCAGGACAGAAAACTGTAAGAGGGGTGGGTAACATTCTGGCAGAGGACTTAACCAGTATCAGAGGAAGCTCTGTTCCTACCAATTTATCCTTCAGCTGCCAGACTGACAGCAGGCCTATTACAGAAGTTACGTTAAGGCATTTCAGACTTGATTCTGTAAACCCTCTGCTGGTTCCAGGGGCTACCAATGCTTTACGAAGGAAGCAATTGCTTAGGCAACCACTGAGGCAAAAGCGAGATCTTGTCAGATACGGACAGATGCTGCTGTGCCCAGCCTGCTCTGCTTGTAAGAGTGAACGTTTCAGGCAGCCAAACCCCCTGACTGGCACTTTCCTGCCACTATCCGCACTGCATTGCAGAGTGGGTGTAGAGGCAAGATTTCCACTTGAGAAAAGGATAGCAGTGGCCCCAAACAGACGTAATAAATGTCAGCAGTAGATAGGACTGAAAGAAGCAAGTTCGGAGTAAGTCTGACAATATTTAAAGACCACAGTGCTAAGATAAAGCAAGGAATTGCAGCATGCCAGCCATCAGAGCATTTAGTCATTTTCTCCTCAGGAAACATTTGTGGAATGATGCTCATATTTGTTAAGTCAGTACAACAAGAGCCTTTGGTTCCACCTCAGCAGCAGTGAGAAATGACTCCGTTCCCCCCTCCTGCCCAAAAGAAGAAAGGAGAGCCTTCCGGACGAGAACAATGGTTTTGTTTTTCCACTAAATCCCAAACATCAGGGGCTGGGATAACTTTGGGCAGTTCCTGTAGGCAGCTTTTGGAAGTGAGTCATTAGGCTCACATAGAAAATGTTTGTGTTAGGAAGCTAACTATGCCAACAAATCTACCTACAGTTCCCAGCCCCCATCCCATGTTCCTACTGGCACAAATCCCAGTTTTAGTCAAAGCTTTAACACCACAGCGAAGGAAAACCTATGCTAATTTTAAACCAGGTAACAGTTAAATTTTAGAGCATATATGCTTGTAGTGTCTTTCATCATGGCTGGATGGCTCTGTTATTGCTGGCTAAAAACTTGCCAGCATCTAAAAAGGAAGGGGGGGGAAAAAAAAAAACGTGACATTCCACACCAATTCATTATATGCTACAGTAGTCACTGATGCTTAAGAAACTAAAATAAACTTCTGTCCAACAACAATAGGGGAAGAAAGTCAAGAAACATGGTTCAGACTAATAAAAAAAGAGAAGAATAAAGAACTAAAGAATAAGGAACAGACTAATAAAAAGGGGTGAAGAAAAATGTAAAACCAAATGCTGTATTTGCCAATTTCAGCATTACCATATGCATTGAATTCCCTTCAGCTATTTAAAAATCAATTGGTTCCAGAACAAATACCCACCAAAAGCATGCCTAGTTTAACTTGAATATAGAAATCACAGACCTCAATGAAACACTATGTGCCTTTTGTAAGAGCCAAGCATTTTTTCTGTCCTTACCTAGCAAGTGAGGAGAAGCTTGAGTTCTGCTTCATTTACACTAGTATAGCTCTAGCTCAGTGAAGAATGTACAGCAAGTGTTTAAGCATAATGCTCACTCCAGCTGCTGCAGTAGAAGTCCACCGTGAAAAGGTAAGACCCCTTGTATGCACGAACAGACCTATACTGCATCTTTGGAAAAATCAAAACTGAGCCAAAAATCCAGTAACCAGATATATTAACACATGGTGCATTTCCTACCAAACCAGGCTTACTGACAGAGATGCACATAGCGCTTCAATGATCCCATGCCTCAACTGGTATTATTAATGAAGAAACCAGGAAATAAATACCCTCTTCAGGGCTTTAACTCCAGCCGTTCTGTTCTCCAGTGCCATATACAGTCTCCCTAATTTCAGCCACATGGAGGCAACATTCAGCGAGTAGGAGGGATAATGTTTACTGCAAGAGAGAAGGAAATTCAGCTTTATCAAACCTGGCAGTTTCATAGCATTTTCCCAGCCCTCGTCCCCCTCTCAGGGGGCAAGAAGCTGCCTCTCGTTGCCCCTGCCCATTCACGGCTCGTCCCTTTTGCCATGACTGCCAAGAGTCAGTGCCAATTGTTTCTGGGATGGGGACGCCTGACAATTGGGAATTGAACTGAAACTACCATATGCCTCCGAACAGCTGTCAGATGGCAATGACTTTCTGCCACTAGTTTTAATCTAGCCAGCTACAGAGAGAGACTGCATTGTTACGAGTTTTTGGAGCCACCCTACACCCGCAGAAATAACTCTGCCTATTCCACAATAGTTGGTCTTTAATGGAAAGCGAGGGGCCCTCAGCAGTGTGTACGGTGCACATGCCATTCTGCACTCGCACACACTGAGCTAGCAGAGTCAAAAAAGTCCAGGCTCGGAGCCAGAGGAGCTGGGCAAGTCCCAGGGAAGATAAATAGTACTAAGCCCCCAGGGGGGGAATGTTGGCTCCTTCTTTGTATCGCTGCTCTCTGCCAAGTGATCTGTGACTTTACGTTGGCATCTGCTCCAAAGGGAGAGCGTTACTTGTGCTCCCCCCAGCTGGCAAGAAAGTCACATCTCAAGATGAGAATCTGCTTGGGAGATTCATGGCAGGATCAGATACAGCGCGTAACCGGCCGGCTCTAATGAACGAGATCACTACTGTAAAAACACAGAAAAATTTATCGGAGAGAGTATTAATTTTTTCCTGCAGAGGCTGCGTGCTGCCTTGCCCCACACGGGGCTTCAGCCTGCACATTCTCCCACGCCCCCAGCTCTAGGGCAGGGGAGATCAGGGACATTTGGGCACCCGCAGCCTCCGAGCGCAGGAGCTGAGCTCGGCTCCAGCTCCCTCTGCTGCTCAGCCCCAGCCCCGGGACAGGGCTCTGCTCTCCCGCAACCATGACCGCTGTGCTACTGCAGAGAGAAAGGGTCGGGAGAGGGCGGGAGGCTGACAGCAACAGCGGGCTTTGCCTCCAATACCTTATACAAAATACTGACTGCAGATGCACTTCGAAGCTCTGCTTTAGTAAAGCATTAGGATATTAAAAAAACCCGTATTTATCCAGTTAAACAGAACTAGCACGGTATCCAAGGTGGTACAAACTTATTTTGAGAACTCAAAGCAAGGATTTCAGAGCCACCTTCTGCTATATATTGCAGGCCACATTTTGACAGTAGCAAAATCTGTCCCAGCATTTAAACATTCCTTTTTGAGTAGTGATGTCACGGGTAGTGTGTTTATACAATACGTACTGAGAGAAGTGATCTCTGTCCAGACTTGTCTTAATTGTTCAGATTACTGAATCAGAGCACTAAAAAAAAAAAGTCTCTTATTTACCTGTACGGTCTGATAATTTTTTGCCCATAACGCAGTGCACCTTCCCAGTCCTGCACGTAGAGACAGACACCCATGGCCTGGTACATCATATGTAACATATAAACATTACTGTCTTCAAACACTGCACCCATCTTGTCCAGGCTAAGTTCACAGATCTCCAGTAATTCACTAGGAGGTATGAAGTCGTCAAGGAACCAAATAAGTAAGTGGTCTGTGATTAGACAACTACCTGGTAATGCCAAAGAAGAACTGACTTGAACTTGTTCAGAATGGTTCTGAGAAGTCCTCTTTTCTCTCAAATGGCATTAAAGCACCTATTCTACAACCCTAGAGCTACTTTGAGAGGTATTCTGCTCACGAGATTATTCCCCCGCCTACTCAGATATTCTACAAAACTAGCTTTCAGATTTAAAAAGCAACAAAAAAAAGCAGCTTTCCTGAATCACCACTGCACCAGCAATGTGTCAGAGGAAGGGGGAGTGAAATTCCCCTGCAGTGGGTACTGAATCAGGCATGAGATAGCCTGGTTTGCTTCTGGCCCAATGAATCGTGCATTTTTGTCTGCATCGCACCACTGTTACAACAGGTAGGCTTGTGACCATCAGCATTAGCTGCAGCCTCACATGAACTCTCTCAAAACCAGGCAATATTACAGTAGACTAACACATGCACACACCTATGCTCACTCTAGCGTCTGGCCTGTTGTGTGGAGACAGCCATATGCTGTGCTCTTAGAAACTGAGAGCTGCACAGGAAGAAACAAACACAGGCTCTCACAAGCCCATAACACCTGCAAGGTTAAACTGCCCCTTGTCTCCAGGGACAACTCTTCAGACACAAAGAGGTATGTTTAACTTCTAACGGTAATAGTATTTCTCCTGCAGGTACTTCTGAAGCAATCCAGCAGGTGAAATTTTTAGGTCATACACCAAGCCAGTGGAGTCAGGGTGAGACAAAGGATATATTTGTAGTGTTTGGCTCGCCTGAATTCCTCAATCACGTTCCTGGCATATTTGATCATGTCCCGTACTGTCTCTGCTGATGGAGGATCATTCAGCTTGCAGATTTCCAGTTTCTCTTTATCCTGAAGGAAAACACAATGGACGTTACAAATGCAGGTTCCAAGTCCTACAAATAAAGGTGCAACTGCTACACAAAATTACTCTAATAAAAGGACACAGATGGGAACTTAAACTCTTCAAAGAATGTAAAAACAAAGGTAGAATGTGCACCTGCAATTTTTCTCTAAAGCCTTGGCTGGGAATCCTAGAATCCTCTGTGCCTTCCAGTTCATCTGCCATATTCTACTTCCACGAAGTCCCTTTCTTTTGAAAGATCCAAAAGCTTTTCGATTTTGTGATGGAAGCAGTTTTACATAGGAAATGTCACTGCTTCCAAGAGATTAGGGATTAAAACAAATTTAGTTTTAAGGCTAGAAAAGCCCAAATACCTTATGCCTACCATAAGGTAGGCATAGCTTATGATAGCTCAGTGATAGCTCAGTGGAAAATGAGATAATATTAAACACAGAAAAGGATCCTTCATATCTACAGACAAAACCACATTTCCACATCTTTTCTTATTTCTGCTGGACAGCTCCACTTACTCTTATCTTTCTATCTAATTTACTACTTCAAGAAGAGTCAGCTGCAATCTGGAGACCTCTTTTGCTGTTAAGCCTCATATTGTTGCTAGATTCCTTTGTCCTTTATTATTTCATCTGCCAGCTGAGAGGGATACAGGGGACTCTTTCCAGAGCTGAAGGAGGCTGAGTGACAGGTGATTCCAAGAGTAGCATGTTGTTGGATATCACAGATGAAATTCTGGCTTCATTAAACTCAATGGCAAAATTATCAAGGTAACTGTGGGGAAAAACACAACTATGGTATCAACAGAATGGCCTCAAACAAGAATACTGGGTATTATTTTGGAAAAAGGTTACAAAAGACAACACCTCCTTTAGAGGGAGGAGATGGTTATCTGGTCAGTTTGGAAAGCAGCTCTTAAAAGGACACCTTTGTGAAAGCGGGGGAAGAAAATAATCTAGAACTTAACGATCAGACTATGCCAGCCAGACCGATCTTGACTGGAATGACAGATGAGCCACATGAAGCTCAATTATCCTAGGACCTCCACTGAAGGATAAGTGAACAATTAGTAGGACAGGCACAGTTGTTTCAGTACCTGCTGGGTTTGGGTGCCTTTTTCCACCCCTTGTAAGTGCTTTTGTTCAAAATAACACCTTGTTTTAACGAACACTGTCTGGTTGTCTGCCTTTGTCCTTTGAAGGGCACCAGGTGATGTCTAATGAATGTAAATCTGGCCTGTGCATCACAAGGGGCTGTGACTCAGGACTACCCTGTTTGTGAGAATGACGTGGAGGAAAGCTTGTTTTAAAGATTCTGCTGGGTCTCCAAACCATCCAGCAAAGTCATACAACATCACCGAGAATTGACTGAGACGTCCCACCCAGGAACTGCAGCAGGACTCTATCCCAGAGCAGGACCCCAGAAATGCCTCAAGCAAGATTCACTGCTGGGAGTTGGTAGAAAACATGCAGTTACAAAAACCAAGTTCTGAGCTAAATTCTTTTGGCCAGGTAGCGTAGACATAGTATTATTATCTACTTTTAACAAAGTTTTCATCTTTGCTTTGTAGCTCAACTTTAAATAGGCATCTACCAGGAAATTTCCTGATGTGTCATGATTACAGTGGAAAGAATGAGTATCAGAAAGTCTTCTAGACAGAAAAAACAAAGCCATCCCCCCTCTCTATTATCCTCCTTTCCAAAATTTAATTAAACCAGATATAATATTACATCTAAGGACTTGGGTAGGTGCCTTGACAGTCAGAAGCGTACTTCACACCAATTTTATTACCTTTTCTTTTGTAATGCACTCCCTGCAATCACAATTAAAGAAATACGAGTCTCTTAACCGGTCATTTCTGTCTTCTGTGGGATACAATAGGTCAATATAGCTGGTAAAAACCTATATGGTAAAAACAGCAGTCAGTGAAAAGCAGTGTAACTATACATATTTATCACTACCAGTTTTGGTATATATAGTATCATGACTACATATTCATGCAGCGTGTGGATCCCTGCAGCCACATCACCTGCCTGTTCCCTCACATTCCAAGCCTCTCAGCAGCAACAGGAGTTGCCATTTGTGAATGCAATCTGACAGAGAAGTGTTTCCTTTCCTATTCATTATGGAATTTCCCTCAAATATTACCCTGGCTTAAACCCAGGTCAGCAAGATTCAGGTGTGGATAAGGAAACTATCACAGAATAGATCTCAGGCTCCTGTCAGACTAAAAAGAGATGCCTAATTTTCAGAAGTAAAATAATGATTTCAGGTATCCAACCTAGGATAAATTACAGTGGCCTGGTTTTTTGGAGGCTGGAATCTCAAATTTTTCTTTCTGAAAACCTACAAAAACTGGGGCAACAGTAGTCACTAGTAGCTTTAGAAATTTAGGACAAGACCTTTAGATCTCTAAAAAGAAGAGAGGCCCAGTGCTCCAGTTCTAGGAGAATGAATATCAGATTTACTTCAGCAGCAAAATTTTAAAGCAAAGAAAACCTGCTTTTGAACATTTTAAAGGCCCTTCACATACACTATTCTTAAGTTTTCCTGTACTTCAATGGTCTTCTGAAAAGAACCCCTGCAACTAGCTTTAATGCTCCGTTTTTAAAATGAGATCTCCCCCAAGAAACATGTCATATGCACAGCGCAGTTGATCATTTTGCAGAGCAAGGAACAGCTTTAGTTCCATTTCCTCATTTATAGTTATTTGAAATGTTTTGCTCAGTCTTTATGCTTAAGGTTTCTTTCTTCTTTAAAGTAAAATGTACATGTAATTTCATACAGTACATCTTCTTCTTCTTACTCTGTGTGATCCCACACGTTCCCTCACACTCCCCTCCTCCCTTCCCTATTTTCAAAGCACGCAAAATGCAGGAGCTCCATTTACAGCAAAAACTTTAAAAATGTTGTGATGCAATGGCTACATTGAACCTGAAGATGGAGACACAGGCCGTAAGACTGCACAGGGCCCAAGAAAAACCACAAGCTCAAATTTATAAAATTCTTCAGTGTCAGAAAAGCAAGTGCGCAAAAGCCATGAGGTCCTGGAGAACTGATGCAGCTTCTAAGACACAACTCAATCAAAAGAAGATGCCAAGCAATACTCTACATCTCTATCTCTCACAGTAAGCCCTCCCCAAAAATGCTGAAACGTCTGGGATTCCACAGTAAAATTCCGAAACCAAGATCAGTCCTTGTCCATTACTACAATGCATTTGCAGTGACTGCCAACATCACAGACAAATCATCGTTAGTAAATGGCATAAAAAGAAGTTGCTCACCTGAGTCATTCACCCTTGGCTCCAGCAACTAAACTCACTTTGTTCACAATGGTGAACAGCTATAATCCACAAAAATAACCTCTCTCCCCTTCTTCAAAACTGATATCACATACTTCAGAAAGCGGTAGGAGTTATCAAAATCAAATCTGAACTTATTTTGATCAGCATTAACCTTGCCCGCTAAATTAACATTAACAAACGAGCCATTGAAACTGTATGCAAACTCCATTCCCAGAGAGAACGTTCCGTACCTTCCTCCCCTGCGGATATTTGAACATCCTCCTCAACTCTGTTTAACGTCTATCTTCTTTTTTTTAAAACAAAAAGCAGCTCTACTGCTGAAGACTCCCTGCCAAGTTCATTATTTGATTGAGAAAGTTTCAAGGTAAACCCAGAGCCGTATTCAATTTCACAGAATTTTATCCATCGCTGTTCAGCTTCGCTCCACCTAAAAACACACTCTTGTTCTTCTGTGACTTCCCAGCCAAAGGCTGCTGAGGTGATATGACTAGGTCCCGTGTTTTGTGGATGCTCTGTCCAAACAGAAGTTAGAGGACTTATCTGAACCCATTTACCTTGTTTATTCTGGCTTCAATTTCAATACATTACTATTATACTGGGAACTATTATAGCAGTAGTAATTTGCTTTGATCCTGGAATTTCAAAGCACCAGCCAAACATCAGTAAACTCAGCCTCATTTTACAGACGGGTAAACTGAGACAGAGGCTGCCAGATACGCAGTGACTGCTGCAGGTGCCCTTCCCTTGTTTCAGCACACAAAATGGGATACTGCCTCTGAGAATCACTTCAGTCCTCCAGAGCCACCCCAACTTTTCCAAAGCAACATCTTACACTTCTCTGAGAAACAAGAGCTCCTTCCCCCCTATTATTAAATTGTCATCTAATTGAAGTGAACCCTGAAAAGCAGAATGGATCCTACTTTTAGGATGCATGTGTACAGTGTACATTCAAACACAGTGCATTTACCTCTTCTCCAGGCTCAATCTCTTTAACAGCTCTGACTTCAGCCAAGGTCCCCTTGTAAGTTACAATCACATTTGGGCAACAGCTATGGTTCATCAAGGCAACACTGTAAAAGTAGGAAAGTAAACGTTTTCCCCCCACCACCACCAAAAGCAACAGGCAAAAAGTTAAGCACCACTTCACAAAACAAGTCAGTCTGAACGATTGAGTCAGTCTGTCTCTGTACGCTGTTTTTATTCTCAGGCTTAACATGAAGGTAACCTTGGGAAAATATGTTGTAGTGTTATTTATTCTAACGATATGGAGAATGGCTGTGCTAATGAATCACTACAATTTTTAAAACCTATTACTGCAGGACTAGGCAAGTTATTATTTTCCCATTCTTATAGTGCTACGGGACAGCTGACAGGGGTGTTCACATAGTTTAACTATCAACATCCTATTTAGGTACCTACAATAGACAGACTATTTTCCTCAGAGGAGAAAGAAAGAGAAACACATGTAACCTAAAGGAAACGAGCAAATACAGGAAAACAAAAGTCATTTGCTGCATCACAACTTAAGATGGGCATTAAAATTTTAGCTGGTTTCTGTGCAAATGTAAACAGCCTCCATGTCTGACGTGGGAGGGAAGAGATCTCTGTCTATTATACAAGCACGACTTACACAAAAACTTGGACCACTGGAGAAAAGTACTTCCTCTTACTACTATGCTTGGAAAAAGTGCAATTTGCTGCTTATTTGAGATAAAATGTGTAATTTTACTTCTTTCTCTTCCAATCTACCAAAATAATAATTGTCTCTTCAGTCTTTTTAGCTCACAGGCATAACTGTTAAGTAGGATAGATCTGGCTCTCGCATGCTGAGTATTTACAAAGGATGGTGTTGGACATGTTTCCAGATCATCCTGGTTTAATACTCTCCTCTCTCCACCATGACTCTGATCCTGGGCATTTCAAGACCTTAATTTCCAATCTGTAGAACAGGGATGTGGACTTCAGACAGACCTGCCTGAAGAAGGAGAATCTGTGAAGCAAGTACTGTCTGTATGCAGCTCTTAGCAAAATCAGGTCCTGCTTTAATTGGGCATCTGTAAGTTTCAGATTACTTTGGCATAGATAAACTACTAGTAATCTATGCCTCACAAGGAAGTCAACCTAAGCAGATAGTGATAATACTTTCAGTACGGGGTTTGCAAAGAACAGGGGCAGAAAATATCCTCCTTTGCTACAACATTAAGTGGGAAGGACAGACTTCAAGGGAAGAAATGTTCCTCCACAGCTTAAAGAGAGCTGTGCTCCCCTGTCCACAAACTGCAGTTAACACTTAACATCTGCAGTTTATTTGTAAAGCTAAGAAGCTTGTACATATTTTTTCCACTGTCATAGCAACATAAAGCATCGCAGTTTTTAAAACATCTGAGGAGGCTGAAAGAAGTTATGAAAGGGATTTACTGTTTGCAAAGGAACAAAGGTAGAAGGGATGTTGTTCAGAGAACACCAGGTGAAGGATTATACCTAGCCAAAACAGAAAGCTGTGAATAGAGCAAGTCACCTGCAAGCTTTTTCATTTCGCTTTGATCATTACATGATGTCCCTGCCCAGAACCTGCAGGCCAAGTAAGTAATTGTGTCCTACCAACCTGCATATAGTTCACAATCTAAGCTTCAAAACAAATTGCAAGTGCAATTTTACCAAATCTACCAGATTTAAAAAAAAACCTGCTGCAAATCATTGGCCACATTTTATTAGCTAATTAAAGATATTTAAAACAAGGTAAATTAAGTGTTTAACTGAATTTCTTTCAGCAGAGATCTACTTCCACACACATGCAAGAACCTTTGTTTGTTTTTAAATAAGTTAATTTTATTTTTAAAAAAATTAAAATCAACCTACTCGGGAAATATGGCTGATCCCAAATGAGAGAGTTCTTCATCTTCAATTGTGAAGCCGTTACAGTTAACCTAAGGAAAAAAAGAAAGAGACTAGATCAGCTTCTGGTCAGCTAAGTACTCCACACTCACATGTCACATTCTCATACTTCAAAGTCAATTGCAGCAATTTGCTTACAATTTTCTTTGTACCTCACCAGTACTCAGAGGGAGCTACATGACACCTCAAAAAGTGAAGTGAGGACAAAGTCCCTATCCAAAGGAATGTGCAGGACACTAAAGAACGGACAGTACAACACTTGCACCTGCTCAGGACACAACATCTAGAGGATTGTTCCTTGGAAGGCCATCCAAGAGAAATAGGGCTTGAAAAGAGCACTAGAAAGAGCGTCAGACAAAGCAAGACCATTGCAAACACGAAAAAAAGTCTGACACTGACAGAGGGCAAAAAGACTTAATTCGGCCATGACAAGTAAAGGGCCGATGCAGAACTACACACACAAGGAGCAACGTAGACGAACAGCAGCAAACTCAGCCGGGCTGGGGCAGTACAGAGCTTTAATGGAGCATATATTACACAGACTTGCCACAATGACATCTGTCATCAAGGGTTGCATGTATCAGCTACAGCTAAAGCACATATGAAGAACAAAAAAGGCAGTGAGAAAGACTTGAACCTAATAAAGACATAGAATAGGAGGGGACAGAAAAAGGACAGAGTATGAGAGGAAGTGTATTCCTAATTTAAACAGACACAGGATCAAAAAGAGCTTGTTCACAAATCTTTCTTATAGAATACATTCAAGGAAGTTTTAAAACCTTCTCCCTCTTTTATTCTCACTAAACAAGGGAATCTTACAGGAGTTGCAGCTTTGTTTCATGTGGTTTGTGTGACTTTAAGTGACCAAAACGCACCTCAATCAAGTACTTTATTCCACTTTCACCGCAAGTCACATACATGCCAAGATAAAAAGAACCCTCTCCACGTTCTCCATCATCTCCCTACAATCATCAAAGTGTTCACAGAAGTGCCAGAAAAGCACTAAAACAACTACTGTCATATGGCCAAATCCAGCTGAAGCTACAATGGGCACAGGAGCAGCCATTTGTTCTGGAAGGGCAAGAGTTGACAGCAAACGCTACCAACAATGATACGCCCCACAAGCTGGAATGCAGCTCAGATTGGATTTTAGAAATATACAAATACTTCCCAAAGCCACTCCTCGGGTATGAACTGTTCTGGATGAGATCACAATTACGGAAAGTGTCCTGTTACTCTGATTTACTCACCGGTATCTTTGCTATCTGTGCTTGATCTTTATCCTGCTATTTTTAGCAAGGTAGCATCCAAAGGCTCCCTGTCTCTCACGATGAGCATGCTACTGCACTAGCCAATGTATGAGCATACCTGAACCAAAACCAAAATGTAATTGCTGAATACAAAAACAATAGAAGGGAAAGATTATATCAACAGCAAGTAAGAACATAAGGCTATAAAGGCTGACATGAAGAACAGCTTGGTGGTTCTGAATCACAGGGAAATATTTAAAAATATGTAGGGAGTTATCAACTCCCCTCCACTAAGCCAGAGACAACCCACTTCTTGAATGCATCATACCAGAAATGACACAAGAGGAAGAATTAGAAGGGATGAGATACCACTGGTTTCACCAGATGAATGCATGACTAAAAAAGGCAATGTGGAGGGAGTAAAGAGACAACAACGAGAAAACTAGAGCTCAGGCTTGTTCCCAATGGTGGGAAAGAGAACATGCAAAGGGAGGCACAAAATTATGCAAGGTCTTCAAGGAAAGGATGAGACGCTGGAACTTGAGACAAGAGAGAAACTGTTTGAAGAGTATGACAAGGTGAGACCGAGGAGGAAGAGAACCAATCTCGAGAGCTATGTTCCACAGGGACAAAAGAGAGTAGAACCACACCGACAGCTGGGGAGGAGAGCAGTGAAAGGCCAGGATGGTTTGGACAAAAATCTTTGCTCCACTCAAAAGGACCAATTACACCTTAGCTGTAATGAGTAAGAAACAACATCAGACAAGGCCCACAAAAAGCAGTGAGCAAGGAGTCAGAGGTATGTAAGTCCCAAACGACTGCTCTGAGCCACAAGGAGATAGAATGCTGAATGGAGAAGCAAAGTAGACAACACGAGGCCAGAGAAAGTGCTGAAGCAAAACAAAGGAGCAGCAGCATATCCATACTATTAGTTTTAGGTCAAGTTAACTAATTATTAGGAAACATGTTTGTACATGTCAAGTACAGACATGTCTCCCCTTCTTCTAAAAAGACTTATGCTGGAGCTAAAACCTCAAAAGGTTGTGTCCTGTAAAATACTTCTGAGGAGCATCCAGATGACCTTTGGAGATTTTAGTTCAAAAAATTGCAATGTCCACAGTGGCAGATAGTTGCCTGATGACCAGAATGAGCTTAAGGTGACACCTAAGGGTGACATTAGACATCTACAGAGAAGACTGGATGGAATATCAGATCTGGGAGTCAGCAGTTCACAGAAGTCAGTTAAAGTACCATGATCTGGTGGAGCTGGTCCAGGACAGGACATGAAGCAAAAGTCTATATAGACAAAATAATGTAATCTTTGGGGATTCTGGCTGCATTCTAACAAAAATATTCAGAAACACCACAAGAAACTAGATGTACTGATGTCTTTAAAGTATCCCCCTGACAAATATAAAATGTGGAGTCTTCAGAACAGAAAAAAACTTTTAATTGAAGGGAAATGTATAATTAGAAACAACACAATGGATGATGAGCAGATGCTAACATGCTAAAGAATCATTCCCCTACAAAATAACAGTACCTCTGTATTAAGGTAATAGTAAACATGCCTCCTTGTTGGTAGATGCCCAGCTCTACCAACGAGGGTATTGCCATCTCAGCTTTCATCATGGCAGTCAACATTTGCCCTGAACTCAAAAAAATTAAACTTTTTACTCAGACATTTAAGTTTAAAACTAGCTTATTTTGAAGTACACGAGGAAAAAGAAGGAAATGGATCTTTCAGTATTCCACTGGTGTGTTATTCCATCCACTACAATACATACGATTTAGATGCATATGAAAAGCGGGTGAGAAAAAAAGAGGTGACACATTTCAGAAGTTACCTAACAAGACATCCTGCCTTTCCCTCATCTCTCCAGATGACCAAACTACCTGACCGCATTTAAAAGCGCACACCAGATAGAAGTTTCAGACTGCTCTTTCTACTTCTCTGAAGTTTACTCCCTGTGAAGGTTAAACACAATGATGACCCAACCAGCAAGGATTTCCACAAGTTTGAAGCCTGAATAAAGGTTTTGCCTCTGCAGAGTCTCAAACCAGCAGCCTTCCATCCAAGTCCAACAACAGCTGCACTATGCTTGGCCCACAAAAAGCCTAACTTTGACAGGGTCTAATACAAGCTGTTTCCCCTTTTCTTCAGTGTTTGAGAAGCACCTCATAGAAAGTGTGCAGACAAGAGTCTCTCCCCTCACTACTGAAATGGGGCATGTCCAGCCACTTCTGATCAAGGAAGTATATCTTCTCCATCAAGCGCGCTCAGCTCTCCCTAAGATAAGCAAAGAGCTACCATTTCCATTGCCGCTAACATTTCTCCCCTTTCACAAAGGCTAAAATCCTACAGCACTATCCACCTAAGCAGGCTGTGTTCTAGCCAACTTACTTGTGCAAAGAGAACTACAAGGGCAGCATTGTCAGGGTACTCCAAGTGCTTTGAGTAAAAGTGATGAAGAGCAGCAATGTCGTTCTGAATCAGCTCTCTCTTTTCATTGTCTAGTTTGTCAAGGTCTGTGGACAAAGAATACATTCCATTTCAGTAACAGGAACACTCCCCCATGAACTGCAGCTAGACCTAGGCTAGAACAGGCCCAGGCTTAAACAGAAACCCCTCAAGGAACAGCTACTTGGAAGTACTGCAAGAAGTCTCTGTTCTTCCATAAACGTAATGCTGCTTCTGCCAAAGCCACACGTGCACTACAAGAACATGCAGGATTAAAAAGCATTTTCTAACATCTTTACATTAGCAGATAATTGGACACAAATTTCCTTTTCTTGGGAGTAGGATTACAGTGTTTAAAATGCATTTGCTAACCCTAGCAAACAGACCAGCCAGCCCTGGCCCGCTAGAAGCCTATCAACTGTGGGTAGCTATCCTCAGCTGTCTAACATGACCTTATGAGCTACCCGAGAATGCCCATGTCTCCACGGGCTGGAGGGTGACCATCAACAGAGGTGCGTTTAACCTGCAGATATCTGAGGATAATAGGAGACAGCAGGAACATCAGTGGAAATGTCCTGGCACACCTGCTAAGTGTATTCCCTTATGGGTTTGTTCAGAGATTTACCCTCAGGCCCATAACAGGTTCTAGCCAAAGCTGTGGCCACTGAACCTTTTTCTGCCTGGTCCATGCAGAGCAAGCTAGGTGATTGACCACATACTCCTGGTCTCTTTTCTCTCCTCACGAGCAGAGTGTTGGAAAGTTTTTTTCCTAATCCCCTCTCTCACAGTGGCAGTGTCACCAGCTCACTCCTGCTCTGAGAGAGCGAGCAACTCATCAGTTTCCCCTCTCCAGCTCAAAATAATAGTGGAGAGAAAAACATGCAGGAAAAGAAAAGGCTGCAAAACAGTGGAAGAAGGGGGAAACGATTTGTAAGAGCAGATGTGAATGACAGGAGAGTCACAAAAAATACTGAGGAAAATGAAATGGGACAATTTGATGAGAATTAGGACAAATAAGAAATTTTGAGCTTCCAACTGACAGCCAGGTGTCTTTTCCTCTCCTGTGCAGGGTGTTGCAAAGAGTAAGGCAACTGCTGAACACAGCAAAAGTGTGCTAAGAAATGAGGAGAGTCAACAGGGCAGAAGGAACAAGGGGTTCTTACTAATAAAAACCAGAAATGAAACAAGGGCTCCTAGAGGACAAGGGGGACATTGCAACAGAAAATCATTTCAGCCTTTAGCTCCCAAATTCATAATTTATTGAAGACAAGCTGCAATGCAGAAGAATATACAGAAATTACTTCACCACTTATACATCCTCCTCAACCTGAATCCTACTAACCTACCTATCCCTGCCTTAGGCAAAGTCAAATGTTGGTTTTTTCCCCCCTTATTTCCCCCGTTGTCCCAACAGCTGTGACAGGAGCTTTTGTCCAGGAAGCAAATAAGACTGTAATCTTGCTATGCTTGGTTACTCTGCTACCACAAGTCCTAGCAACGACTGCATTTATTCAGCATTTTATAAAGGGTTTTGCAAACCATCAGAGTGAGAAATGTGAATATACAAACCTATTGTCTCCTTGTATATTACCCCAGCACCAAGAAAGAGAAAGGACAAGACCAATGAAAACTATGCCAGGATGGTTACTAGTCCCCTAATTGCTCAATTTCTAACTCTGCCTCACCGGACGTAAACAGTAGCCTTCCAGTTAAAAGCAAGCCATTGCCTCATCTCTTTCCTTGGATTATTTTGGAGCACTTAGGACATGGAATTTCAACACAATTGTATATAACATGTCAGATTTGACTGGCAGTGACAGATACTGAAGCACAGTCCAGAGGGTTCTGTAATTAGCCCCTTAGTCACTGTCACCATCAAGCAACTGTGCTGTCTCTGATTTTATGCCTCCTGGTAACAAATGCCGGCTATTTTAATTTTACAACATTACAATTCTCAAAAGACACTAGAGTACCAGAAAAGCCATGAGATGGATGTATGCTACATAATTAATCCTGTCTAGGTGTTCACCCTTGTTTCACAGCCCCTACAAGTGACCAAGAAAAAAAAGAAAGAAATAAGAGCACTGCACTTTCAAAAAATGAGAAACCACAATTCTCTTTGTTTACTCCCTTTCTCCAACAGGAGTGGGATGCTCTGAAAGGTTTTGATGGAGGGGGACCAGGGGGTAAAGCAAATAATGAATATAGGTAGCTGCCTCTGTTTACCTGCAAGCCGTTTTTACTTACGTGATTCAAACTCTTTTACAGCAAGCAGCTTCTCTGACTGAGTTCTTTCAGAGTGAGTTTTCTAGCAATATGGGGAAAAAAACAACAAGAAAATATTTTAATGTTTTAAGTAGGCAGTTTTGTCTACTCATTCATAAGCTCCGAACTCCTACTTGTAAAACAAACCCAAATCTCCACTGTATGGAATTTATAGAAGTTGATGAACAGCAATGAGTTAAATTGACTTTTACCCTTAGTAAAGCCATAGAAATATTCTCTCTGCACCAAATTAGGCAGCCAAAGATTAACTCCTATCAAATTTATATACATAAACTGAACAGTATTTTAAATATGTAATTTGCTTTGTTCTAGACATCCAGAAAGCTGCTAACAATAGCAAGCAGGCAGGAGACAGGCTTCGCTTTGAGGAAAGTGAATAAACTGACTGTTGACAGAGTTCAAAAGCAATGCTCCATTGTTGGCCTAAGGCCACTTCTTTGTAATCTTGGCCATTAAATATGGCTTTGCAGGTGGCCCAGCAGCTGAGGTTCAGGGACTATGGTTTGCATATTTAGCTTTTATATGACATGTAGGGTTCTCCTCCCTCCCTGTAAGCAATAAAAGCACAAATTTATTCCAATGACTTTTTGTCATTAAACATTCAATTTTGTTTGTGGATCACCACTAAACCATGCTTTAATTAAGTCACACACACATATGTTCACACATGCACATCTACACACAGAGCAAGTATGCAGGTATCTTCCCAGCAGGCCAAAATCCTCACTACATACAGTATCCAGGTTGCCCTTGTCACATAAGGAGACCTCAATCACACAAATATGCTTCAAAGAGGACTTATTTTTGTGGAGAGAGTTTAGAGCTCTACAAAGATACACACCATAATAACCTTGAAACTCATGAATCCCATCCCCTCCCTGCAAGCACTTGTGTTTTATCCTCAGTATCCATATAGTTAGGGAACGCTGAATTGGAGGTTGACATTGCAATCTTATTTCCTTACTAGTAACATTTTTTTTCTCTAAAGACCAAGGGCCTGAGATTTCTCTCTCAATCTCTGTTTTTTCACCAGGTAACTCCAGTAATCGTAAACATTTAAACCTGAATACCTCAGAGGTGTTCTTGACTCACAAATGTACTGGGAGTTACATACTACACAATGCTACGCAGTTATAGCTGAAAAATAGTACAACAGGCAACTGCTTCATAAAGATGTCAGTGTCTGCAGACATGTAACACTAGGAGCATTCCTCAGAATTTAACCACATATACCAAGTCTCATTCTTCTTTCTCTTCACTAACGTGGCCTTGGTGCTAGCCCACACATGTAACCAAGAGCTCCAATCTACCAAAGTGGAGGCTGAAACACCATGCACACTGTGAAACTATCACTAAACTTTTCCAGACTCTGTTCAACAGTACCTTGACTGTAAGTTACAGCTACACAGCTTAAAACCTTACTAGCCTTTTGCCATCTTCCCTCAAAAGTCTCCAGCTGGACTATGGTGGCCCTGATGCTGCTGCAGTGGTCTGATGGTCAGTTCGTTCAGCTGTTCATGCTCTATATCACACCTGTCTGTACACAGGAAGCTAGTATGTACGTGCTTTGCAGGGACAGTTACTGTCCCTCAATTTTCATTTTCCTGCCTTCCCTGGCACCCAGAGTAGGAATGTACCTCCCAAGTCTAGCGTCCTGCTCACCTGTTTGGCAAGGATCCTCGCCGTTAGCCTCACGGTCTCCGAGGGATTCCAGTTCTGCCCAAAAGCGCACATGGCGGAACACTCTAGCTTGTGCATTGGCCAGTCTTCCTTCTGAAAATGTAGAAAAATATTGAAAAAAAATAAGCCACGAAGATAAAGTGATGAAATAGAGGATGCAGCAAGTCCTGCCAGATCCTAGAGGTCAAGTGAAATGTGTTTCCTTTAAAAAAATAAGATGACGCTCACTAAATCTGAACAAAAGCTTGAGTCCCATTTAAGAGGTACAGCTATCCTGCTTTTTTCAAACAAATTCACAAGGGATGAGTTAAGGTCAGAACATCTTCATTTATTCAACAGAAAAGAAGAATTAAATGACGAAGAAGCAAACAGACAACATGATTTATAAATCACCAGTTCTTACTGTTCAGATCAAGCACGTGAGGACAGAATAGGTCTGAGCTTGATGGCTTTATTGGGTTCATTTCCATTTAATACCTTGGCCCTTCATTACGAGATGACCCTGGTGTAATCAGGAGTAATGTGTCTGAAGTCAATGGATTCACAATCACTGTAAGAATCCGTATATGTAAGGTCAAAACCAGACCTACTGAATAGAATTATCAGATTTTTTCCTTAAATGTTGTAGAATAAGAGCACAGCTAGGCAATGAAAACACACTAATAAAGACAAACACCTTTCAGTTAGGAATGTATAGCATATTCCTAGCTCAACATACAGTAACACTTGGAGTGATGGCAGAAGCCACTGGCTTTTGGCACTCTACAGATTCCCTCCAAAGCAACAGAAACTTTCAAAGATGAGCACAGAATCACAGATTAACACTCTGCACTGGCACACAGAGCCTGGCATGGGCTGTCTCCAGACTGCATCAAATTTCATTTTATTTATTTATGTATTCAAACATGGAAATACTCTTATTTCTATATTCAAGCAACGCAGTTATTTATTTCTAGATCTCATCCCAGACACACATTTATAGCAGTGTGTTACAACAGACCTATAGTGTTCTGCCTGTACAGGGACCATAAAGTTTTGTTTTCAGACCAGATTTAAACTGGTGGAAAACGGTAGCAGAGGAAAGAAATTGCAACAAATCCCACAAATTTATAATTGATTGAAAGTGAAAACTTGAAAAACTTTTTGCAGCCTCCAGAAAGTTCTTAATTCCCCTTACTGTTATTCACCCAGTATCACAGACCCAGTGTTAGCGCACTCAAAAAAAAATTTAAAAATAATTAAAAAAAAAATCAATATAGCCCATCAGAGTGACTGAGTGGCAGAAACAGAAGAAACACAGTTTCCCTCAGCTGCCTAACCACTGATGGCAAGAGCCATTTGAGACACCCTAGGCTATCTAAAACATCTACATAAGACCAGTAGATATGATACATGTCTACTGGGAGATGCAGGCCTTGTGGGAGCTGTAGCTGGAGGCCACATAGGACAATCCAAGGCACCTCAAATACTCAGCTGAATCAGGAGCCCCAGTGTCTCCTGCCTTTGCTGGTCCACTTATTTACAGGTTTTGCAGATCAAAAGAAAAGCTGAGATCACTAATTTCAGAGTTAGTACACCAAAAATTCTTCCACTGAAAATGGCCATTTTAATTGCCCTGGGCATAGGCAGCTTTAGGATTTTATTTTATTAGGAAAAGAAAGGTGAACACCTGCTCCAGCCTCATGTAGGATTTGAAGCAGTGCAACACTGCAAGGGTATTCAACCCCTCACAATGTCAACTTCATTGTCCTTGATATCTCAAGTGTGGTACTTCCAAAAAACCTTCATATAGGCTGCTTGAAATAAGGTCCAGTGTAAATGTTCTAAGAGGACATGGCAATACAGACCAGGAGAACCAAAATAGTATATTATGCTGCAATCATGTCATGTGAAATTACACTCTCAGCTCTCCTACAGCTGTCACACTACAAAACGTGTCCCCCGAGAGGCCTGTTTCCTATGTATGCCCCAAGACCTTTATCTGGAAAATTCCCGATAGCCTTTGCTTAGGAATCCACAGGCTAAAGGCTAAGAAGAGAGACTGAGGGAGACCTCATCTCTCACCCCTTCTGGAACACCCACAACGCCCACCAGCTTCAGCGTGATTGCTGCGTGTTCAAGAAGCAAAGGCACAGAACCTGAAGTTTTGTAGGACCTGCATCCATACACATCGGTTAAATAAACAGGAGAGATTACCTGATAAAACAACAAAATCAAAATGCAAAATCACGTGCCTGTCTCAAAGCAGTGTTTTTAAAAATCCGTTTGTTCCCTTTACTCGTTACACATTGTTAATTAAAATCTTTCCCCAGGCAGAATCATACCGAGTTATATGAAGTAGTAGGGAGGTTTTAAAGGGACAAGATACGGCTGAATTGTGTGAAATGAGATAAAAGCCTGAAACGCCACAAGAAGAGAGAGTACTGATGACTGAGTAATACCTGGGATGGAAACACTGTGACAGTAGCTTTCCCTGCGATCACAGCAGGACTGTATTTTGCATTCTTTTCCACGTTTTTCGCTAAGTAGTTTGAATGATAACAGGTAGCATTGTTCTAGTTGAATCCCTAATGCTACATTAATGATATTTTCTTCCTATTTGCATTACATCCGCAGTATTTTTCCCTTCATTTAGGAGTGAGTGACAACATTTTTGGAAGGGAAGTTCTTTAAAGCTTATGCTTTTCACATCAAAGCATGGAAACAACTTTCTCCACCAAGTTCTTCAAAACGATTCCACTGTCCAGGACCACTGGATTAATTCCCAGAACACTGACATGTAGCTCAGCATAAAAAAACCCCAAAAAACCAACAAAACGTAGTACTCAAAAAAATAAGACTCAAGTCCAAACAAATGTCCTCGCACCTCCTTCCTCACATGGACTTTTTCAATAGCATGTAAAATTTCTGTTGTATTTCACTTGATCGAAAAGAAACACACACAAATACCAGACAGAAATGCTGGGCAAGCCAGCGTAGGGGTTAAGCCCACTTCTTCAAAAGCTTAGGGCCCAATTATGCTCAAATGGCATCCAACTCTTTAATTGAATTTCAGTGAGGCAACTTCTAATGTCTGATATTTTCCAGTAAAGTTCTCCGATGCTGTCCTTCACCAAGCAGTGAAGGTAAGAGTTTCACACGTCTTCACAGCCATCCTTCCCTACCATCATTTACCGAATGCTGGGCCATAGAGGGCATTTGACTTCCATGGGTTAATGTTCAAAAGGTTCACAGGAGACTTTTATCAAAGAAAATTACACAGAGAAAGTTTTTGGATAGGGGGACAGACACTTCCCCAAGGCAATCTTAAGCAGGGTCTTGCAGTGTCGGATTCCTCTTGTGCAGAATCATTACAGCAAGAATTTCCTATTTTTTCTAGAGCTCACCAAAGAGGAGTGGATAATTTCTACAAGGCCCCATTTAAAACACATCTGCTTGATGCTAATTCCAGGTCTACAACTACATTTTGAGGCTTACTAGCTGGTTAAAAATACATGTTTCCCTTACTCCAGAAATACCAACTACAGCACTCTTTAACATGACATGTTAAGAAAAATCTGTAAATATTTTGTTCTAAATATATTTCAAATATGGAAAGTCATGACAAAAACATTTCTTTCTGCACTTTGGCTAGCTGATCTCCACTCTGTCTGGGATAAATACTGGCTATGTGTAATAACAGAAAGAGGAGCTCCAGTAGCTGGTTCAAGTTCACCAGTTCCACAATTGCAACCACGTAACCCTCTTAAAACATTTCTCTTCAGAGTGTTTCAGCAGCTAATTTCTGAAGAGAAAAAATGAGCACAGGTCTCCTGCTGTTTGACTAAAATTATTATAATTTAAGAAGTCAAGACCCGAACAGCTGCAGATGGGGTCTGAAAGCCACTACTATAATAACAGGCCTGTGCTTCGAGGAGGCAATAGCGGAGAGCAGAATGGTATGAATCAGCTGGAAATCACAAACCCTTTTAAAAGGAAAACTGGATTAGGGGCTGGGAAAAGACAGACGCAGCAAACCCAGGCTAGATCCTACTAACCCACAAAACATTCAAGGCAGCAAGGACAGGCAGTGAAGACAACTTCCACTCCTACGTGTCCCGCATCTGAGACTGAATCTACGCCTATGCAAACATCCAGTTTTATATAGGTCAAACTTAAGGTTATCTATCTTAAAAGCAAAATTATAGACCAAAACAGGCAAAAGACACATGTTAGCACTAAGGGAACTGTGCCAGGGCCAGTGTGTGCATACGTGTGTGTATAGAGAGAGCCCTAAATAAATCAGCCACTATATCACTGCAAGACTTTGTCTTCCCCTGGGTTCAGTCCCTCACACTACAGTGTGACACCACCTTTCCCAGCGACCAGGGCAAAGGAATTATATTGCAAAGCAGGACTTGGTCAATGCATCAAACACCTGGACATATGGCAGGAGATGCACTCTTTTACCACTTGCAGGATCTTCAGCACGCCAATATATCCTTCTGTACTTATACCCCATTCGCAAAAACAGAAATGCCACAAAGGCTGTGAGGGTCATTCACTAAATGCCTGGAAGGTATTTTAAGAACCTCAAAACAAGGATACTATGTGGCTCAACAGAGTGGGAAATACATGCAGTGTCACTAGCTTTTCTTTCTATAACCACATTATTCTGACAGAGAAAAAAAAAATCTCATTCAACATAAACGCACTAGAGAGAGGAAGATGTCTGCAGTTATAAAATCCATAATTCTGAAAAAGACATCAAAAAAATTTGTTTCCCGCTGCACACTTTGGCACCTTTCTCTTGTCTCCTTCTGATCCATCTCTCCCTACCACTAGAAAGAATTCTTATGAATTGTGGTATAGCAGGTCTTTAAGTAAGAAAAGAGTAAGCTCAAAAAATTTGGTTTTCTATTCCATACAGTATACTTCATGTGATGAACAGTTGTCAAACTGAATTATATTAAGTAACAAGATACTAACCAACATATGAAATCATACTACGTCCTTATTGGGTACATGTAATTTTTAGCTGAACTGATCAAAGAAAACATGGATTTACAGAGAAAATTAACTTAAAAAAATAAAAATCAAATGAACAATGCCATCACAATTCTCAGGTACAGCCCTGCCCTTTTATCAGTGTTGCATGAAGAAGTCTCACATCCATGGAGGCAAAAGGGACACATTTACTGTACATCCCAGTGTTACAAGTTCAATATCAAGGCACAGATGTCCTTTTTGGCTTTGACAAAGAATTGCTGAACTGCTGAAAAATGCCTTTGAACAAGACAGCGATGAAGATGCAGTGCAGATTGTCTGTGCAGCACGTACAGTCAGTGGAGACCGGTTTCTAGAGAATATTATGCTTGAAGATAACTTTGAAAGAATGTCAAAGAATTCAATCTCAGCAACATTCATAAATTTCATGAGACTGACTAAGAAGGGCCCAAAACATGGAAGATAATGTTATAACAATTAGGGAGTGAAAAGCCATATGCGTATCACCAGTAAGAGTGAAGTGCTAGTACTTGTGCTTGTCACTACTGTCTAGACATCACAGCGTCTAAAAAATGCCATTATATATAAAGCATTATACTACACACCAACAGGTGGAAAAGATTTTAATTCATTAACTTATCAGACAAACAGGCTTTTGCTGAGCATCCTCTCCTGCAGTCTTAAGGACACTCAGTTTGAGCAGTTCAGTTTTTTATTCTTGGAATATGCCCCACTAGGGAAAGAATACTCTGACCACCAAAAAAAAAAAAATTTAAAAAAATCAAATTAAGAAAGCAATACATGTACAAGACTTTACCCAAGGGAAAAAGAGAAAAAACCTCCTTGTTCCTAAATATAAAAGTATAAACTTTGTCAAGGCTAGAAGTCAGGACACCAAGGGAGGGACTGAAGAAGGGACCTGAAGGTAAAAGCAAAGGACCGTGGATCAGCAGAAGTAAGTTCTTCTACTTCTACCATGATATCTACTTGCTATTTTTCTGGGCACAAATCACTTAGCTTTCCAACTGCAGTAAATCTTGCTCACCTGCTTCATAAACCATTGTGAATTTTATATGGTAGAAGAAACTCACAGTCTCAGATAAAAAGCGCTAAACAGCCAATAAATTGCTTTATTCAAGTATTTACTTCCCTCATCTAGTTAAAAGTTTCCTAAGAAATAATGTCATATGGAAACATTTCTTACAAATAAGCATTTCTCATGAATGAATCATGGGTTTTCTCTACACTGTCTTTAAAACTCATCCAGATTTCTCTCAAGAGCCTTAAGGATGCTCATACAGTAAGCATTCTCATTCTTCCCAGCAACTGCTGGCTATCAGTCTTTCAAGATTCTGTGAACTACTGCAAATTTTGTAAAAATCTTATTTCTTTTAAGCATTTTAAGTCCTCCTGGTGCTTCAAAACCAAAAGGCCATTTGATTCACCCACTAAGACACTGTGGGAAAGCAGGAATCTGGGGAGGCAACAGAAGGAAAACTAAGGGGAGGCCAGGCTCACTTTGCAACTTAGGCAATGGGAGAATAAGATACATCCTTGAAATAAAAGCGGTAGCCATCTCCAAAGTGCTGAACAGCACAAACCACAACACCTCCATCCAGATAATGACAATGGAGAATACTCTGCATGCCACCCACGCACTCAACAGCGCACTACCATGCAGGAGAAGGTTTGGATTATTTATAACTAACACATAGTTGCATGCCAGACCTTTGGTGACTCAAATCCTTCACGAGCACTGTTCCATACTCTGTGCCCAGCATCACAGATCTTACATAGCTTACATTATTTAGCTAGCAATCCAGTTGAGTTTTTCACAGGTAAACTGGATAATTCTTCCATATGAAGTTGACAGCCCAAAAAGGCTAGATACTAGTTCTGGCAAAAATTTTTTTTTTGAAAGGTGCTTATCCTAGTTTGAAGTAAAAGTGAAATTAAAACTGCATGCAAAAGTTTTGGATGTCTTCATATTGCTCTACTTTAGTGTACACTTATATTCTGTTTTCAGGGGCTTTTAAAAAACAAAGTACACAAAAAGAATAAAAGTTGCCAGAATGAGTGAGTTAGGAAGAAAGCATGGTAGGTTTCAAATGGTTATGACTACTGTCAGCTGTGGCCACCAAAAAATATTTGCAAAGATTCTAAAAAAAAAACCCAACAAAAACTCCTTTTAGTGATTTGATTTTTCCATTAGACACAGACTCTCTTACCAGTTTAGCAAGCTAATGTTAAATTATCTGGTTTGTGCTTAAAGAAAGAAGTAATACAGACATAATTAGTGGGCTGACAGGCAGCTTTAATCAAAGGCTCAGTGGTACCGAGCCCTGGAGCTACTGATCTTGAAAGACTCGTACAGCCCATGTCCAAATCCTGTAATTGTCCAATGCACAACTCCATGGTCAGCATCTGTGGGATGCTGAAACTGACTGGACTACTATTAACCATAGCTACAATTAGAGACTATCAATGCCACACAAACAAAAAAATGGAGTTCAGCAACCCCCACCCTCCTTCCCCCCGCATCCTCACAAATTGCATTACCATACCTGACATTCCACATTGCAATAAAAGGCCTGTTTACATCTTCCACACTTGGACAATCCTTCTTTCCTTAAAAAGAAAACAGAAGTTATTCTATTGTATAAATCTGAATGCAACACGAATGTATCCTGTATCACTTTTTGCACAGTATTTTGCATTTCACAATGAAAACTGTATTTTCTTCAGAACGCTACAACTACAGCTTGAACCCCATCTTCCGATAGCAGACACTATTTTTATTTGTTTAGACTTTCAAAACCAAGTTTTTCCTAACAACTATCATTATGCAAAAGCACTCTGCTGTCCCGCTAAATTGCTGGGTTTGGAAACATGTTATTCTATGCTGTTTGACAGACAGCGTCATTTTTTTGCCACTATATGATGCATACTGATAGCTAATTTTTCCTTCCTTTCCAAACTTCCCAACTGCTCTGTATACTTGCTCACCAGTATTAACCCTTTGCTTCTGCTCTGCCAGTCCCATTGTTTCTCTCCCTCGTTACAGAAAGCGTTACCGTTGTTTCGTGAGTAACTGCCTCCCAACACCAAGAAAACATGTTGCATTATTAAATACACTGTTTGACCTCCTGTCACCACATAACCGCTTACGATCCTGCTAACGTCTGCTCCGATATCTGTGTGTTCTAAGGTGACCGAAGGCTCACTCTCTCCTTTTTTTATATTTGTACATATCCCAACACAGGGAACTGCCAAAACGAAGGTCGTCTTCTGCTTCAAGGTGCATGCGTTGCAGCAGATTCCATCAAAAATAGAGCATGAGTTACCCAACACGTGACATTTTGGTGTGACAGCACTAGGGATCTCTCAGCAGTACTGAATACTTTAAAAAATCTACACACCCTCCCCAGTATAAGTTGCAAAAAAACTGTCTTAAACTGAGGCAAGTTCATTGAAGTAAAACAAAGGTGAGTGTCCTCATACAATATGATAGTGTATAACACTTCAGCGGTCACTGGCATTCGGAGTCCTTAAAGCGTGTCAAGTCTTGACATCCTCTGATTGTTCTTGCAAAGTAGAAGGTGCAACGTGAGTGAGTCAGGCTAACATCATGACTTTCTTGCTGACAGTATGTACCTCAAGCACAGCTGCGTATTCAAAGTAACGAATTCTATCACATGCAAATACAACGTTCTACTCTCATTCTGCCCATTTTACTGCAATAGTTCTATGACCGCTTAGTAAAGTTTCTCTTCCCAAGACTAATGCTGAGCCCACAACCTTCCTCCTAACACTCTTTGCAAGTTCAACAAGCACAGTTCATAATCTAGTATGTGCTAGTTCAGCGCTAATGCAACGGGGTGCAGACACAAAACACATTTCTGAGCACTGGCAGGCCAAGTTACATCACTGAGATATCTTTCCTCTCAGTGGAACCTCATCATCCTGGTGTGAAATAGGTTTCAAACTACCCCACTGTAACTGCTATGGTACTGCATTCTGTATATTCCTTGATCACTGTGTTCCTCCAAAGCTCCATGGGAGAAGCTTGCATGGAGAACAAGCAGCATTTAAATAGGCTGCTCCTGGAGATGATCTTTAAAAGCTATTCCATGAGATAACTATTATCTCTACAGTATTACTCCATATCAATGCGGCACGGAAAGTATTCCTTAGTCCTTTTACAGAGAGAAATCTTCTGGATGCGATAAACAAAACTAGCCAGTTTCTTTGGCACAAGGGAATTTGTGGTTAGACACAAGAAGAAAAAAAAAACCAAAACAGCAGCTAGGAAAAGCCACTGGTGTGAAGGAGAGGAAAATCACCTCAGTTCTACAGTTCTTCAGATTAATGGGACTCGCATCACTGACTTCCTAAGAACTATATTAGGTGTTCATATGCAAAGAGAGGGGTGAATAAAATGAGTAAGTCATATAAGTAGATAATGTGATGAGGAAAGAAAAAGGATAAGGTCAAGAGAAAACAGAAGAAAATGAAAAGCATAAGTGAGTAAGATGACAGGACAAGAGATGAGAAGACCTACTAGAGTGTAATAATTATATTCTTCAGTCTGCCTCTCAGTCTACATACGCAAGCAATACTTACGTATTGATAAAAACAGCAAAAATGCAACAGTTGTTTTCCTGTACTGAGGCAAACACTAACATTTGCTCCGAGCTATAACAGGTAAGCACTGCGATTCTTCAGTAAGCTGCCAGAAGTCAGGAAAGTACTATACCTTTTAGAAATGCGGTGTGGTGTGACATGCCACAGTGTCACGTCCATGCCTAATTTTCGAACGATAAACTGCATTTTTTTTTGCTGCAGCAGCTGACATTGAGAGGTTTACGGCAACCCCCGGAATACCCGCAGCAGGTCAAACCGCCCCTCCACACAGGCGAGGAGGGCAGCTGCTGAGCCCCCAGAAAACTCGAGCACCCCACAGCCTGCCAGAGCCGGGAGCCACAAGACGCGCAGCAGCGGGCCTGCCGTCAGCGCACGAGGCACTCGAGTTTAAAGGCTCACAGCCACGCGCTAACGAACCTCTCGTGCTGCCTGTGCTTTGCCCTAGTAAAAATAATTTGCCAGAAGACTAAGGTTTCGGACAGAGAAGCAGAAATATACAGATATTTCTGTATATTTCATTACAGATATATATTCCGTTCATATACATTCTGTTTGCACCATGGAAATGCAAAGCGTGAATTAGGCAATTGCGGACCCTTTCTCCCTTGTCAAAACTTTACATTAAAGTCAGTGAATATTACATGACTGCAAAACTAGATGGATAGATAAAAACTTCCCGCGAGAGCAAGGTTACGCGTGTGTCTACGTTAAACGCCAGAGCACGTGAAGAGCAAAACTTTTTTCTTTCTTTTTCCTGAACAGTCAAGCAAAGAAAACCAGTTTTGAGCTAAAAGTCTCGTCACGGCGCTGCCGCCAGAGAACCACAGGCCGAGGAGGAGAAAAGTTTTGCGAAGAAAGGCCCCCGGAGCCCCCGGCAAACCCTCTGCGGGGCCCTGCTGCCACGGTCAGCACTCGCGGGGCCGGGGCG